CTCATCCACCAAACCCCACGTTCACTACAAATTCAAGAAGGGCAGACGTACACACGAGATCCACCGAGGTATCAAAGGTCCCCTTTTGTGAGCCCCAGTGGAAAAACAATTCAGGATGCTGTGAAATACTTGAATGTTTTACAAAGATTTTACTTTGGTGACTTTACTGTAATGAAAAGATATCCCTTTTCTGGGGGAAAACAGTGGCTGTTGAGAGCAAGCCAGTTGGCTGGAGGCTGGGTCCTCATCAGTGCCTCCTCTCAGGTGAGCTCCTGGTGCCTGCCTGGTCCACCCACACAAGCCAGACCAGAGGCGCTGAAGGAAAGTGCGCTGGAGATGCTGGCAGCGACTCACTCCGAGCCCGTGCCTTCCCATCCCGGACTGGGTTGGGAATTGACAAAGCCCTTCCTCTCCCAGTCTTGGCTTTTCCCCTGTCAGATGAGGCCACGCCCACCAGATGAGGCCAGGGGCAGTGGAGTTTCCTCAGTTGCAGGAAGAAAGTAAGAGCATAGTTGCAAAGCTAGTTTGACCCAGCTGGCTTCATTATTATAACTTCATTAAAAATTAAATTAGGACTTCCAGTCAAGATGGAGGCGTAGGTAGACACGCTTCACCTCCTCGTGCAACCATAGAAAGAATTACAACTAGATCTCAAAACTAATAACACCGAGAACCATCAGAAAATCAAGCTGTATGGAAGTCCAACAACCAAGGATTTAAAGAAGCCTCATTCATCCAGACGAGTAGGAGGAGTGGAGTTGTGGAGACAGGCAGGCGGAGAGGAGGTGTGGTGTGGAGAGGCATCAGCAGAATGGACAATCCCACATTTACGGTGGATAAAAATCAGGAGGGATGCTTTGGGCATGAGCCATTCCAGCCCCAGGCCAGAACACACAGCCCAGGGTTCCAGCACCTGGAAGATAAATCCCCATTACCTCTGGCTGTAAAAACCAGTGGAAGTTAGGGCCGCAGAGGGAACTGCTGGATTTTCGCTGCACAAAGAGCCCACACAGAATTAGAACCTACAGAATCCCACCCACTCTGGGATTCACCACTATGGCAGCAGCTGGAAGGCACTAGTAGCAAGACACCAGTTGCATATAGAAAGTGGGTGACGTGACTGGAAACAGGACAAATGCTGGGCAAGCCTCCAGAAGCCAAGCAGCAGCACTGTCCCCTCTCTTGAGTCCTCCCTCTCCCCAACAGAGCCACAAAGCTGTGAAGCGGGTTGCCCTGCCCTGGCAATTACCTAAGACTCTGCCCTACACAATTTACAGGTCCCCTTTCTACATAAGCCACACTACTGAGGCAGGGAGTCAAAGCAGCTCTACCTAACACAGAGAAACAGAGAGAGGCTGCCAGAATGAGGAGACAAAGAAAAATGGCCCAAATGAAAGAACAGAAAAAAGCCCCAGAAAAAGAACTCAATGAAATGGAGATAACCAACCTATCAGATGCAGAGTTCAAAACACTGGTGATCAGGATGCTCAGAAAACTCATTTGGTACAGCCACAAAATAAAGGAAGAAATGACGGACACACTAAGTGAAATAAAGGAAAATCCACAGGGAACCAACAATGAAAGGAAGGAAGCTGAGATTCAGATCATTGAGGAAGAAATAAACATTCAACCAGAACAGGAAGAAGAAACAAGAATTCAAAAAAACCGAAAACTAGGATAGGCTTAGGAACCTCTGGGACATCTCCAAACGTGCCAACATCCGAATCATAGGGGTGCCAGAAGGAGAAGAGGAAGAGCAAGAAATTGAAAACTTACTTGAAAAAATAATGAAAGAAAACTTCCCTAATTTGGCAAAGAAACATACAAGTCCAGGAAGCACAGAGTCTCAAACAAGTTGGACCCAAAGAGGACCGCACCAAGACACATCATAATTAAAAGGCCAAAGGTTAAAGATGAGAGAATCTTACAAGCAGCAAGAGAAAAAGCAGTTACTTACAAAGGAGTTCCCATAAGCATATCATCTGATTCCTGAAAAGAATCTTTTGCAGGCAAGAAGGGATTGGCAAGAAGTATTCAAAGTTATGGAAAGCAAGGACCTACAATTTAGATTACTCTCTCCAGCAAAGCTGTCATTTAGTGTGGAAGGGCAGGTGAAGTGCTTCCCAGACAAGGTAAAGCTAAAGGAGTTCATCATCTCCAAGCCATTATTACATGAAATGTTAAAAGGACACATTTAAGAAAAAGAAGTTCAAAACCATGAACATTAAAAAGGCAACAAATTCACAACTGTTAAGTGTATCTAAAAAAACAAAAACAAAAAGTAAAACTTTAACTAGAATAGGAACAGAATCATAGATATGGAGATCATATGGAGGGTTATCAGCTGGGATGGGGCAGGGGGAAAAAGTACAAGGATTAAGAAGCATAAATGGTAGGTACAAAATAGACAGGGCCATGTTAAGAATAGCATAGGAAGTGGAGAAGCCAAAGAACTTAACACACATGACCCATGGGCATGAATTAAAGAGGGTGTATTGCTGGAGGGAAGCGGGTACTGGGAGGAGGGGGGCAAAAGGGGAAAAATTGGGAGAACTGTAATAGTGTAATTAATAAAATATACTTAAAAATTAAATTAAGACTCCTGGAGCCCTGGCTCATTGGGCTCAGTTAGAGCATCATCCTGTGTGTCAAAAGGTTGGGAATCAATTTCCAGTCATGGCGCATACCTGGGCTGTGGGTTCAATCCCCGGTAAGGGTGCATATGGGGGGCAGACAGCCGATGTTTCTCTCTCACATCGATTTTTCTTTCTCTCCCATCAATGTTTCTCTTTCTCCCTTCCTCTCTTAAAAAAAAAAAATCAATAAATGTCTTTTAAAAATTTTCGAAAACCCCTGGAGATTCCAAGGTTATGGGTCTGGTGGAGGTCTTAGGGCTCCGGCTTTCAACAAGGACTCCAGGTGAATCTGATGCACGTGGTGTGAACCGCTCTCCCCCCACCCTACCTATTGGTGAGAACACTGCCACTTCCTAGCTGTGTGACCTCGGGTTAGTGCAAGATTCAAAGAGATAATGTAGGCAGAGCGCTGGCTTAGCTGGAGACCTGGGCTAGAACAAATGGCGGCAGAAGACTCCAACACCACAGAACTTAGTTATTCCTCAGGTTTCATGTGCCGCCAGCAGAGCCCTGAGCAGAGCTGCAGTTCCCCGGGAGGGGCACCAGCTGTCCCCCGCAGCCACTCCCCCTGGGAGATGTCGTGCTGGACAGGTACAACACAAGGCAACATAGGCTCGGGCAGCAGACTGCGCATTTTTTGGTCCCAGGACCCTTTCACTCCTAACATTATTGAATTTCCCATAATCTTCATGATGAGGATTTTAGCTGTTAATATTTACTGTATCAGAAATTAAAAGGAAATTTTGAAACACAAGAACTTGCAAGCAACACATTGGCAGGCAGAATGATCAATCACGTGATCACGTGCCGGGTACCCTCTGAAAACCCCACTGTATGCGAGACAGAGAGTAAAAAGAAAAATAATGTCTTGGATTATGAAAGTCATTCTGACCTCAGGGACAGCCTCACAGGGCCTTAGAGACTGCCCCCGGGGTCCCGGGAGCACACTTTGAGGACCGCTGGCCTGGTGTTTAGGAGAGTAAACTCTGGAGCTTGACTGGCTGGGTTTGACCCGCTCCCGCCACCGCCTGCCGTGCTGTTTCACTGCTCTGGACCATAGTTCCTCATCTGTTAGGACAGCTGTACCGGGAACAGAGCCAGCACTGTGGAAACCTTTGCCGTGACTAGGACCCTCACAGCCACTTCCCTTCAGTTCCCCGTTCGGTGGCAGGTCCCTCCCTGGGTGGAATAGGGCTGGGCACTTTGCCGCAGAGACCCAGCAGGCTGGGACATCCTGAAGGCCTTAGGAATAAGTAAGTTCTGTGGCGCTGGAGTCTCTTGCTGGCACTTGTCCTAGTTCAGGCCTCATGCCAAGCCAGCGCTCTACCCGCTGTATCCCACTGAACCTTGCACTGACCCGTTTTACAGATGAAGAGCCTGAGGCTCAGGCAGGTTGCACTTGGGCGAGGTCCTGTAGCTGGTAAGTGGCAGGGCCCGGGACTCAGACTCAGCCTGACTGACCTCAGGGTTCCATGTTTCCGATCTTCACGACACGTATCAGAATGCGACCCTGCTTGTCTCGCTCCTGGAGGGGCACTGGGCCTCCGGAGCTCGGCTCCTTCCCGGGGCCTGCGCAGTCTGCTCTCCCCCTGCCTTAACTTTTAGACCACGGGTTTCGGAGCAGCAGGGGGAGGTGTAGACGGGGTGCAGGTTTGAATTTTGACTGCCATCTGCAAGTGGGACAGTTGCCACCTCACAGGGTTAGAAGGGACAGCACATGGGTTGTAAAACTCATTCTTCAGTGCTCAATATCCTGGAGCCTCCATTGCCATACAACTTAATCCCGTGTTGCAAGGGGCTGCCATGCTGTCTTCCTTAGAACCCGGCCCCGATCAGCTGCATCATTTCCCGGAGGGATTCTGCATTTCTGGGCCCCCTCCCCGGCCTGCCCTGCAGGTGGGGCTCAGGTGCGCACCGAAGCCTGGCTTTCCTCCCTGGCAAGGTTGGGGGCTCCACCCAACCCTTAGTAGATAACAGGCTTGGCGGTGGCCCCGTTTAGGTAGCTCTTTATCAGTAGGGTGGCTGTATACAGGCGCACCTGTTTTATTGTATTTCAGAGGTGGTGTCTATTTTACAAATTAAAGGCAAGATCCTCCACCAGCAAAAAGATTAGGGCTCACAGTATTGTGGCCCTCATTTTATTGCGGTGGCCTGGAACCAGACCTGCACTATCTCCAGGGTCTGCCTGTGATTTGTCTAAACTGGGACGTTTTTAAGCGTGGAAAGGGGGCACCATTAATAGCTACGCTGGGAGGTGAGCAGTAAAGCAGGACTTTACTGGAATGTGGGGGTGAGGGGTCACTATTTATCAGTTTCTCTTTTTGGCCTTCATGACCCTAGGAGATGCCTCCCTTTCTATTACAGATGGAGAAACTGAGACCCAGAGAAGGTTGCTTCTGGCTATAATCTTGGTCCTTGATTCCAAAACACCTCCTTGGCCGAGTGGCTGGTGTTGGCTCACTGGAGGCCGGCACTGGTGTGGGGTCCTGGGGGACTTCCGATTTCCCAGTGTCAGATCTTCAGAAAGCTAACTACCTTCGTAATGATAAAACCAACAGTAAGGCTATAAAATGCCTATCTAGAAAAGCTAAAAACATAAACAGAGGATCCTGTCAGCAGGAAGGAAGTGAGTACTGAGTGTGTTTCTGTGTGTTTGTGCTTTCTCTTCATGGTCCCTGGGGTCTGGCTGTGACCCCTTGTCATACAGACAGTCTGTCAGTGTCCCTCTGGGCAGAGTGACCGAGGGAGAGGATTGCTGAGGCCAGCTCTTCGTCAAAGCAGACTTTCCGTTCAGGTTGGTCAATGTCTTTTCCTCCTGATTGCCTTAGATGCTCATTTGCTGACTTTTTTTTTCCTGTTGTGAGGAGGACGGGGTCGTGAATGTGACAGTCAAGTTTTGTGGCCTGTGGGGAGGATGGCAGTTGCAGAAAACACTCGAGGGGACCCAAGGCTGTCAGCGCCCTAAATAGAACCTGCAGTGGCACTCGGGCCTGTGGCGTTGAAGCCCGCGGCCCTTGCGTGTGAAGGTCGGGTCTATTCCTGGTGCAGACAGAAATAGCTCCCAGAGTGGCCGCTGTCGTCCGGGCTTGCAGGCCGCCCTGGGCCCGCCTCCCCTACGCCCCCGGCTGCCCAGCTCTCTCCGCCTGCCCTTCCGTCCACCCCTCGGGGGCTTCACCTGTGTTTTCCCTCCGGCTGCCGAGTGCTTTCACGTGTCCTGCTGTCCCTGGTTTGGGTGGAAGGAGCGGCTTCATGGTCTCCCTGGGGAGAGGGACAGGCAGGGTGGCAGGAACACACTAAATGGGTCCCTTACCTGTCCTTGAGCCATCCCCCTTGTGGGTGGAAGCATCCTCAGAAAACTCTTCATCTTTCACAGATACCGCATATGGGCTCAGGGGTCTCTTCCCCATGAGCTTCTCTTCCTCACGTCAGCATCATTCTGTGTTCACAGGGCAAGATGGAGACCCTGAAAGACAAGACCTTGGAGGAGCTGGAGGCGATGCAGAATGACCCGGAAGCCATTGACCGGCTGGCCCAGGAGTCCCCCGAGGTAGAGGCAGGCCGTCCTGGGGCCCAGGAAGGGCCCGTAGATGGGACGGAGGCACTTAAGGGGTTTGGGTCAAGTTCATCTCCCTTTTCTGTGGCCTTTCCCATGGTTGGGACCCAGCCAGAGATGGCCCTGAGGTGTCAGCCCAGTTCCCTGGCCCTCTGGAAGCTCCAGGGGGCAGTGCCAGGGAGTCCGGTGCCCTCGCGTGAACCCACACACCCCAGGAGTTCCGCACTGTTGTTGCAGCCTGAACCTGGAGGCAGTTTCTAGAAGCACTGGTACTGTTTTGTCGCTGCCTTTCCCCAGGGGCCTGTGGCCCTGCCCGTCCAGGAAACGCCATTCTCGGGCTGGGGTGGGGGCTCATCTGATCATCCCATTTCCTGTCACAGCCGGCACCCACTCCTCTCAGCCCTTAATCACTGCCCTCCTGGGAATAAAAAGAGCCCTTCTGCCTGTAAAGAGCTTCACACTTTATAAAGGGCTTGCCTCCCCCCGCGCCGCCCCCCCTGCCCCAGTCTCTGTGACCCTGTGACTCCCCTGTGAGGGAGGAGAGACCAGGCGACTGGACGTGGCCACCGAGCTGGATACACGCAGCTGCCCCTTGAGTGGCCGCAGCCTGTTCACTGCTCTGGAAGCTACCGCCCACTGCCCCTAATGCTGGGAGACACAAACACAAGCCTGCCAAGCTCGTTGGATTGGCATTTGGAACATGTTCCTAATGATGCTGATGCGCAGGTGTGGTCTGACACCTCTGGGAATTCACAGTATGGTCACCGAAAAAAGGGAAGCCACCCCTCCCAGCTTTGCCCTGCTTCTGCCTCCCCAGAGCACTTCCCTCTCTGTTAGGGGTGTTCTCACCCCCACCTGCCCTCTGCCCAAACGAGCCATTCTTGCTGCTGCTGGAGGAGATGAGAATCAGGCAGGGCATGAGGGGAAGTATGGGAACCCGATAGGGCACACCCTGCCACCCTGAGCTCGTTCAGCGAGGACATGAAGCAAGGCTTGTCTTGGTTAAACTCCAGGGCTGACTCAGATGGCTCCCTGGGCTGTGAGCTGTGCCAGGGTCGGGCTCGGAGCCGGCACCGTGCTGGGCACAGCACAGGTCTTCGCTCCTCTGTCTTCCATTCCCTGTCGGTCACATTATAGGCACCAAGAGTTTCTTGAATCTGCTGCGGGTGCCGTGTTATGGGAGTTCCCAGGCCTGCTCTAAAGCATGCACTTCATTGAAGCAAACCTTTACATAATTACATAATTACAAACCTTTACATAATTGACATCCAAGCTGGACAGGCTGATAGAATCTGTGGCGAAGTGCAGAGTCACGGAAAACAAAAGCAGGAACCACATCTCGGGCAGACGGCAACTTAAATTTTGCAGGTTACAGCCTTGCCTGACTAATCAATTTACATTGTCCGTAGGGAGAAGTGCTCCTGGCCTCAAAGGGGATGAAGGGGGGTGGGCTGCTTAGCCTTTCGCAGCCCCTTGGACGAGGCTTTTTCCTACCATGGGCTGTAAAACAACAACTGAGTCGCTGTGGACTGCGAGGAGACACAGGAACGCGTCCAGTTCCCGATGTGGACGTTGGAGAAGAGGGAGCCAGGAGAATGGGGCCGCACCTGCATGTAGAAGAGTGCGGATGGCGGAGGCGAGGCAGGGCGGGCACGCCCTCTGGGGCGGGGCTGGGACTGCCTCAGTGGCCCCTCACCAATGCCCGGTGCAGGGCCTCAGGGTGGACTCCCAATGGAGACAGACTTGGGGAGGCTGTGGGGGGAGGGGACAGAAATGGGTAGGACAAGGTTGAGGGGGAAACAATGCAGCAAAGATGTTCGATTAAGAAGCCCTCTACTTCTTGGGGGCTTCCAGGGAAAAAGCAGGGACGTGCACGAGGGCCAGGGGGTCTGTGGGGCCCCCGAGGGGCAGCTGGGCAGAGGGCTCCAGGCCTCCCTCTCTGTGTCAGTCACATGAGAAAGCTTTCGTGGCTAATAAAACCGAGACTGAAACTTGCCGGTGGCAGCATCCCTGAGCCAGTGTCTTGCCGAATGGTTCATGACCGTGCTTGTGGCAGCGAACCAGACTGCCCTGAGGCGGGACGCGTGCCGTCGTGGGCAGGCCCCAGACGATGGCCGGGCCCGCCCTTGCTCGGCCCCGGCAGCTGGGTCCTTGGAGGGAAGGTAGCTGTGCCGTCCCTCTCTCCATGAAGAGCAGACTCCAGGCCCACCCCTGAGCGCAAGGTCTGAGGCCCTGGGTCTGGGCGTCTTCTGGGCGTCCAGTGGGACACGAGCCCGGCAGGCTGGCCTCGCGTGCCAACTGCGGCGGAGAAGCTGGTCTCGCCCAGCTGTGCCCTGAGCCCTCCGCTGGGTGCCGAGTCCTCTCCACTGGTGCCACATGGTGCCGTAGGTGTGTTGTCCCCGTCGTGCTGGGGGTGGTATGTCTGACTCCTTGCCCTACTTCCAGTAAAAACAACTCCCTGGCAAGTGGACAGGGCTTCATCATAGCAGGTCCTGGAAGGGTTCCTGTGGCTGCCCCCCTCACCAGCTGGTGACCTGGCTGAAGAGCAAAGCACTGCTCGGCTTGGGGAAGTGTGTTCAGGGGGCATGTCCAGGTGCAGGAGGTCTCCGGTGGTCACAGGTCACCTGTTGGCAGTAGGCCTCTGGCCATGGGGACTCCCCTCTACTTCTTGGGGGCTCCTCTGTTAGCTCGTCTGTACAGCTTCTCTGCAGGATACACATGTGGCCCAGGAGGCAGGGACAAGTCTCCTGAATTAGTGTCACGGTTTGTCCCTGGCTTTCTTACCCCACAGAATAATTTTATTTTGGGGCCTCACTGCATGTGTAGCTTGTGGCCTAAGGCCACCGTAGTCTACCTCAGAGTAGGTCTCTTGACTGAATCTTATGGATAAGTGGCTGCACTTTTGGTCCCTTCCCTCCTAGGAAGCCTGTGACTTTCTGTTATAAATTGGTGCACCATTCCCTGGAGCTCTGCACAGCGCGCGGTGTGGCCTTGGGCAGGCTGTTCACCTCCTGTGCCTGTTGCCCGTGCGTCTCCACCACACAGGCTGCTGGGTTAGGATTCGGCGGGGTGCCTGGTCAGAGTGCCCGCCGAGGGTTTGAACCCAGTCCTTCTGACTCTAGCTGAGGGCTCAGCACTGTGGTTCCCCCACGGTGGGCGGTGAGTCCCAAAGGCCCCTCAACCAGCCTGCCATGAAGTGAGTGGTAGTGGTGATTCTTGTCCTGTCCTTTTAGGTCCAGGACCTGCAGCTGGAACGGGAGATGGCACTGGCCACCAACCGGAGCCTGGCAGAGCAGAACCTGGAGTTCCAAGGTCCCCTGGAGATCAGCCGCTCAAACCTCTCGGACAAGTACCAGGAGCTCCGGAAGCTTGTAGAGCGGTGCCAGGAGCAGAAGGCAAAGCTGGGTAGGGGCGGCAGGACCCCGGGAGGGTGCCCCGGGGTGGAGGCTCCTCTGTTAACACAGGGTCCCATTCAAGGTTGGACTGGGGAAAGCTTCTGGAATAGCATGGAAGGCCCTGGCTGCTGTGGCTCAGTGGGCTGGGTGTCGTCCCACAGACCCACAGGTTGCCAGTTAGATTCAGGTCAGGGCACACGCCTGGGCTGCAGGCCAGGTCCCCGGGTGGGGCGCGCACGAGAGGCGCCTGATTGACATCTCTCTCGCACGTCAGTGTCTCTCTCCCTCTCTTTCTCCCACCTTTCTCTTCTCTCTAAAAATAAAGAAATTAAATCCTCTAAAAAGTGGCATGGAAGAATAGATGGCCTCTCCTTTCCCCGTGACAGGAGAGGGCCAGCAGTTACAAAGGGTCACCGCGTCCCAGCCCTGTGCTAAGCCCTTCGTGTGCTCGTTGGTCAGTACAGCCATAGAAGGGCAGGTCCTGCTGTCGCTTGCACTTCGCAGATGAGAGAAAGGAGGCTCAGGGATCCTAGAGCGTGGCCAGGGTTCCACGGCTGCAGGTGGAGCTGGGATTGGAGTCCATAGCGCCCGCACCCTGCGCTGCCGACTCTGCCAGCTCGGCTTCTGCTCTCTGCAGAGCCTGGTCCTCTCTGCCCCAGGGCCTGCCACCTGTGGAGGTGGCAGGGGCTGTCCTGGCCTTGCAGCGAGGAAGCTTGGTCCCCTGCGAGGCAGGACTGGGCTGGGGATGGGGGCTGGATAGTGAAGGTCTAGGCAGGGCTTGGTTGGGCTCTCCTCTGCTTGGGAAGGTGACCTAAGGTGCTGCCCCAGGGTGGTGGCCCGGCCTCGGGACACACGGAGGACACCTGCGGGCCTTCCGGGGAACCTTGGCCTCCAGCACTGAATCAAGAGGCCCTCCTGAAACATTGACCTTTCCACGCTCTGTTCCAGAGAAATTCTCTTCAGCACTGCAGCCAGCAACCTTGTTAGACCTTCTGCAGATCGAAAGCATGAAAATTGAAGAAGAGTCTGAGGTGAGAGAGTCATTGGCACCCCATCCTCCACGAGCCGGGTCAGTCCCGGGAGCAGAAGCCCTGTCATGAGCACTGGGTGTCTGCAAAGGGTGGGACAAGGGTGCATTAACAAGTCACAAAGATGAGTGACACCCTTTGTCCCAAGGGAGGCCCTTTTGGATGCAGAGAGCAGGGACCCCGCCTCCCTGGCTGAAGCGGAGATGGGCGACTGGTGACGAGGCCCCGGGCAGCTGGCAGACCCGGGCGCAGGGCAGAGCAGCAGGGCCCCGAGGACTGCGGCAGGTCCCAGCCCCTCGGCCCACCTGCGGCGGCCTGGCCTCTCCATCTGCTTCCTCCGAGCCCCGGCCTCTTCTGCGTCTGCTAGCAGGCAGCTCTGCACGCTCTGTGCTCCGGGGGAGGAAGCTGCCAGGCCCTCAGCCCCAGGCCAGTGGCCTGCACTAGCAGCCCAGTAGCCAGTGTTCATTGCTTATTCAGCACCTACATGCAATAGCCACGAGGGCCGGGTACAGTGCTGGGGCGGGGGACAGCAGTGACTGTGACAGATGGTCCCTGCCCTCCAGGAGCTGACATTCTGGTGAGGAAGACGGAGAATAAACCGTTGAGTGTGTCTGTCGGCAGTGATGGGGGTCAGAGAGGGCAGGGAGTGCCTGGGGCCGCTGAGGCAGGAGGGCTGCTGTGGACCTTTGCCCTGGAGGGCCACGGTGGTCTTGTTCCCAGCAGGCCCCCGTCGTCACCTGACCTTACGTCTTCCAGGCCATGGCTGAGAAGTTCCTGGAGGGCGAGGTGTCCTTGGAAGCGTTCTTGGAGAACTTCTCCTCCATGAGGATGCTGTCCCACCTGCGCCGAGTCCGCGTGGAGAAGCTCCAGGATGTGGTGAGGAAGCCCAGAGCTTCCCAGGAGCCCGCCAGCGATGCCCCGCCCCTCCGCCCGCCTCTCCCTTCTCGCCCAGTCCCCCAGGCAACGCCCCCTGTGGCTGAAGAGCAGCCACCCGTGCCACTGCCACCGGCTGCGCCCACAGGGGTGCCTCTCTACCCTTTGCCCTACAGCCCGTCTCCCGGCTTGCCCGTGGGCCCCACTGCCCAAGGCCCGCTGCCGCCGGCCCCCTTCCCGGTGGTGTCGCAGCCCTCCCTTTCCTACAGTGGGCCTTTGGGTCCCCCTTACCCGTCGGCCCAGCCGGGACCCCGGGCTGCTGCGGGCTACTCCTGGTCCTCACAGAGGAGCATGCAGCCCCAGCCTGGCTATTCTGTGCCCACCTCTGGTGCCTCCAGCCCCGGGTACCCCTTGGCGGGGGGCCGGGCTCCCAGTCCAGGTTATCCTCAGCAGCCCTCCTACCTCTCGACAGGAGGAAAACCTCCTTACCCAACGCAGCCCCCGCTCCCAGGCTTCCCAGGCCAGCCCCAGCCCTCGGGGCCCCCTCGGCCACCCTACCCCCCTGGGCCTGCGCCCCCCTATGGGTTTCCACCACCTCAGGGTCCTGCCTGGCCTGGGTATTAGACAGGGTCCTGGGCCTTGGCCCTTCCCTACTTCCACCTGTACCACACCTTTGGCCCACCTACTGCTGAGATTCGAGGTTAAATTGGAAGTGGAGTCGGCACTCCCCAAGGACTTGGGAGGGGACTGGGCTGGGAGCCTGCAGGCTCCGGAAAGGTACCAGGTGGTCGCGGCACTTCCTGGCCTCCCGGGGGAAGGGAGCGCCTCCTTCCAGTGACTGCCTTAGCCTGCCCGGTGCCAGCCAGGCTGGGAGTGCAGCAGCTCCCTGTGGCTGTCTGCAGGAGTGAGCTCTGCGTGTGTGACCACCTGCCTGTGTCTGCCCTCCTGGACGTCGGAACCTGGTGCAGACTTCTCTCTGTGCTGGAGGGCTGGCTGGTCCTCCGGCCCCTGCTCACCCCCTCCCCCGGGATGCGTATTCGATGTGGTGCCCGCACCAAGCGATGCAGGTTTTCGTGTCTCTGGTCCATTCAAGGAAGGCCTGCCCCAATGCACCATGGCCAGGGCTGGTTCACAGGGAGAGGACAGAGTTGGGAAAAGCGCTTCGTGACTCTTCAGTCGCATAAAGCCATAACTGAGCTCTGGTGGGCTGGTGTCAGAGAAACTTGCTTTGAACGACAGCAGCTGAGCCAGTACAGTGAGAAGACTGGGGATCGTGAGGGTGGACCCCAGACCTCGCTTGTGCTGGTTGGAAAGTCTGGGGGGGGCAGTGGCGGGAGGTGGCAGCTGTGGCCCATGAGATCGGGGTCACATCGGGGGCTCATTAGGAGTGGAGCGCCAGGTCGCCTCCTCAGCCTCCCTCCCTTCCCTGGGGCCCTCTGCTTTCGGTTGACTTTTTCCGAGGCCCACCCCACCCGTCCACTCCTTTAGTGCCTTGAATCTCGTTAGCAGCAGCCCCTTCCCTCACCCGCTTCCTCTGGCTCCCTGGACGTAACCCTCCCCACCCCCAACATCCCTCCTCAGACATCAAAAGATGCCCCAACAGTAACCTCCCAAATGGTGCTTCCTAAAACACCATCACTATGTCAGAGTCCGTTTCTTTGCATCTCTCTTGTCTTCAGAATGTAAAGGGCAAGGATTGTGACTCTGAGCCACATGCAGCCCCCAGCACATGGGGGGTTGTAAGCATGTTCAGTAGTAAAAACAGACCAAAGGGAGTGTGAGGAACAAAGCATTAACTTGGCTGTTCCAGATGTGAACCAGGTCTCAAGGGCAGACCCTGGAGCTGCTACCAGTTAGGGAGTCATATGTGCCTTGAAATGTCCACTACATGAGCACCCAGAGTCTGGTGGCCTGGGGTGCTGGGGGCCAACGAGGAAATGCGACCTCCTGGTGCCTGCCCCCGCCCAGCCTGTGTGCCACCAGTGGGTGCGCGGACGAGATGCTCGATTCGCGCTGTCGGTCCCTTGCCAACTGTGCTTGCTTCTCCTAAGTTATTTATAAAGAGAAATCACTAATGGACTCTACTGGTTCGAGTGCTTCGGAACTGGATGAATGACCACTTGTATGTTGTATAAATAATTGCCATAATAAACTGAGGTGTTCTGTGCAGTGTTGTGGCTCTGGTGGGTTTGAGAAGTGGAAAGGGCTGCTGGGGCGGTGGGGAGGGGGCAGGCACGGTCCCTTCCGCCGCCTTCCGGATCACGCTCTGCTGAAAGGCTTCCTTGATTCATGCCCACAAAGCCCCGTCTATCTGGATCTCATCCCCTGAGCTGCCGCCCTCCCCTGCTCCTTCACCCCCGGGGCCGGGCTCTTAAGCGTTTCCCTTTCCTCTCCCACTGTGGTTTTCCATCTGGAGCATTCCCACGCCTGCGCCTGCACGTTCGCCTCGCTCTCGGTGGAGAGCTTGCAGCTGTGCAGGGCTGTGGGGCCTTGCCAGGCGGCCTGTGCGTTCCTGCCACCCGCTGGGCTGACGACGTCTGCTGTCAGCCTGTCCAGGAGCCCCAGCTGGTTCTCAGCCAGTCTCTACACTGGGATAGAGGGGCGGTGGGCTGCTCAACTGGCTGCGGAGCTGAGTGGTCTTCTGCCAGGGCCAGCCTGCCCCCCTTGCGCTCCCCCTGAGCGCCGTGGGATTTCATGAGGCCTGGGAGGGTCTTCTGCTTTCAGCAGGAAGGGCAGCTTCCTGGGAGTCAGGAGACTGACCAGCTTTCTAATGGGCCTGCTTTTCCTTCCCTGCACGGTGACACAAGGTGACAAGGGCAGGCTGCCTGTGAATGATGCTCCGAGTCACCAATATTGACAAAAGGGCCACACACATTTTGTGAAGCTTTTGGTGTGCCTTTTCTCAGGTCCTCTCAACAGCACTTTGATCCTCCCTCCCCCTACCCCCTATTTGAAACGGGGGTGGGTGGTTCAGTGACGGGGCCCACAGCCTAGAGGGGCGGGGGTGGGACTTGCACCCAGCTCTGTGTGACCTGGCCTCGGGCTCCTCTGCTGCGCTTCTGTGGTACCAGAAGTCGCCAGGCTTGGAAGCCACAGTCCTGGGGGGGAGTCTGAGCCCACGGTTGAGAGCTCCTGGGCTCCAGTCAAATGCTCCCTGCCCTTTGCCCCTCCTGAACTCTGGCCTTGCCTTACAAGTGTCCGGGGCTGAGGACACAGGACACCAGGGTGAACTAGAGACAGTCTGGCTTCGTAGGAAGAGGCTGAAAAATCTCACTTGAGGGGAACCGTCGAGTCGCTTGCTTTGGGTTGGTTCCAGAGTGGTGGCAGGGTGGGTACATGGAGCAGCCAAAGAGAGGAAGTGCCACTTTCTAAGAAAGGACTTGGTTCCGAGCTGCCGCAGCCCGTCACCCAGCACGTGGCCCTGCTGGCCCTCGCTCTTCCTTCCCACAGGCTGTCCACACCTTAGATCTAGCACACACTGGCTCTCGCGCGCACCCCTGCCTCCGTCCCCACCCATCCTCCACCACGACAGACCACAGTGGGTCTTTAACTGCAGGGCGGGCTGCACAGGAGACAGACCCTAAGTGTCAAATTTAGAGCCTCAAAGAGATTCCAAGCTCAGTGAGAAAGGGCACTTCATTGACACCTCCCTTCAGCTGTCAAGTTTGTTCCATGTACCACTCCCAGGTCCTAGGTGCCTGGAGATGGCAAAGTGAGCCTCGTTGCTGGGTAGCCCAAGTGAGCTTTCCTTTTGGGTCCTCTGTTTCCTTGGCTTAACACGAAGAAGATGTGCTAGAATCAGGTGGCGCACTCCACCGCTCCTGAGGGTCAGGCAAGGAACAGTTGAGGGGGGTGGGGGACACACAGGTGCATGCTGCCCTGTCTGGCCGAGGGGCGGCCCCTGCTTTATTCTGGCAGGTGGCCACGAGGCAGGAGTTTGGACCAAGAGGTAGCCCGGGTCCTCTTTAGAGGGGGCGCGGCATCCTGCAGGGCTGGGGGAGCCGGCCTGGCTGGCCCCTGGGATTGTGGACTGGGTCGACCTGCCAAGGCTGGGAATTGGCAAAGGTGCCCCCAAGGCCGAGGCAGTTCCCATTCAGCTGCTTACGCAGATCTTTTTGGAATGCATCACCTGGCACCACCCGGGCAACAGAGATTTTTGCCTTAACACAGCTCTTGCGGGAGTCTGGGGGGAGGGTGTGTTTTTTTAAGGCAGGCCATGTTGCGCTGAGGCGTGTGGTGGCCAAGCTAGAGACTGGCGAGCGTTTATGAAGAAAGGGGCCCATAGGGGATGTCTGCTTCACGCCCTCTGCCTGGCCTGCAGGCAGCCTCTCCGCTCCCTTTTGAGGACCCGCCCCTCCGCCATGCACGGGAAGGGGAAGGGTTGCCCCTATTTCTGGACTCCGTCTGTGGTCAGGGGCAGATCCGTGACCTGGGCTTGGCCACCTGAGTCCTGAGCGGGGACAGGGCGGAGGCCTGGTGGGAGGGTGTTGGGGGCAGCACCCCCTCTCCCCGGGATGCATCTGGTAGCCCCCAGTGGTCTCCCAGGGTGGCTTCCTTGGCCAGGACCACTGATGTCTGCTGCCCCTGGAGGATGCAGTGACCAGTCTGGTGGGAAAGGCCCCAGATCCCAGACGTGCTCTCGTCTTCTCAGGGAGCCGTCTGATGGCCAGGGGCTCAGCGAGGCCTCTCCCTTCACTAGACCCTCAGGCCCTATTGGCCTGGCTTGCGCTGAAGGAAGGCCAGGCGCCGCAGGGTTCCGTGTGTGTCTAGGCTGGCGGACCAGTGGGGAGGCTGTTTCTGATGAGGGAGTTACTTAACACACAAGGTTGTTCAGCCCCGACCTCCGACTCTCCAGGGAGGAGGTTTAACTGTGATCGGCTGAAACCCCTTTAGCTCTGGACTTTTAACTGCTGTGCAAAGCAAAACCGCCAATCAGCCAGGGTTTACTAGGTCCCCCTTTGTGCCAGGTCGTGAGGCAGCACTGGGGCCCTTTGGGCTCTACAGCCAGCCCCAGGCCCTGCTCCCTTTTAGGGAGGCACCTTGAAGCAGCGGGCTAGGGGGAGCCACAGGTGGCGGTCGGAGCAGAGGACCGGTTGGGCGCCCACACAGCGCCCCTGCTGGCAGCAGCTGCGACGTGCTGCGCTGTCTGCGTCGGCTGTGCAGCTCCCTGACCCCGAGGACTGCCGAGCCCCCCAGCAGGTGCCCCTGCCCTCGGGCATCTCCAGGGGCTCAGGGGGTGACCCTGGGCCGAGGAGGCCAAGCTCTCTCATTCTCAGAAAGTAGAAAAGGCGTTATTTACAAAGAACATATTAAAATACACTAGAATACTCAGCTCCCACCTCTCCCCCTGGCTGGGAGCTTCCTGCCAGTCCTCCCTGGGGTCCAGGTCTGAGGAGAGAGCCGATTCTCCTTGGGCGCTGCTTCCATAGACGGGGGAGGGCCTTCTGGGGCCTGAACCCCCAAGATGTCTCTGCCTGGCAGGGGCGGCTGCTCAGTTGTAGGCTCTGTCCTTTCACGGCTGTCACTTGTGGGGTCAGCCGAGCCATTGTGTGGGTCTCCCCTGCACCAGGCTCCTACGGGGGTGTTTGAAAGGCCCCTTGCCCTCCGCCCATGTTCTGGCCGAGGCAGAAATCGGTATGTATTTCCAAGCGGCAGATGCAGAACGTTCTCAGGACACAAGGTCGGCTCTGGGTGCATGCTCCTGTTTCCCGGGTCTGTGGGTGAGAAGGAAACGTGTCCGAAGAGGAAGCCTCACACCCTGGAGATGGTTTGGGAGGTGGGAGACGGGCCCCAAGGCCCCTGCTCAATGTCTGGGTCGGTGGCTGACCCTCTGGGTCAGGGGCTTCTTCCTGCTGGTAGCTCTGGTGTAAGTGCATCAGGGAACCTCCTAGGGGCTCCTTTGAGGGGGGTCTCCTGAGATGCAGTGTAAGGGGCAGTGTTAAGGCTGGTGAGTCTACTGCTCGAGTTGCCAGATCAGCTCCCATCCCCTAAATCCTCGAGGCGTACTTAGCCTTTCCCTTTGCACAAGTCAAGATGTTGGAATCCCCCGTTCGTGGATGGGCAGGGTGAGCAGGAGGCGGGAGTCCCGTGGCTGGTGCCTATCCCCAGGGCTGTGTGGGGATCCCGTGCTCACCTTTCACAGCCTCTGGGCCCCATGTAGGTCATAGTCGCTGTCAGAGGAGTTGTCGGGCTGAGTGGAGACGCGATGCAGGGCCCCTTCCAGAGCTGCGGAAAGAAAGGAGGCCAACTGCAGCGGGCGGACCCCAGCAGACTACACAGACAGAGCCCTCAGAGCCCAGAGCCCCATGGGGCGTCAGAGATCAGAGAGGCTTTACGAGCCCGTGGCTTGACAGCCACATATCTGTTTTGATCAAATCAGCCAAAGTTCACTAATGATGCTGAACTCCGGGCTCCCTGGGCTCCATTGTTAGTGCCAACCTGGGAGCATTCAATACAGGGCTCCCGCGGGCCTCCGGGCGGCTCTGTTTTGCCTCATTTACCGTCTTGCCAGCCACGCCCTGCCGAGAAGCCCGTCCGTGGGGTCCCAGCGGTGCTGGGGTTAATGGTGTCCCAGTGCCTTTGCTTTAGTCGAAAGGCCTATTAAGGCTGCATTCCTTCCACGCCCTGCTGTCAGCAGTGCCACCAGCAGGCAATGCATCCCCACTCTCCCTAGGCGCCCTGCTCTTCAGGGGATCACGTGACCCCTGCTCCAGCCCTGCCCTGGACCCCTCAGAGCACCGGATGTGCTTACCTGGATAAGCTGAGACTTGGGAGTTCCTGGGAGGCTGACTGTACTCATTCTCCACATGGGAGGCTGCGGGGTTCTCGACCTGGGATCGGCGGACGGTCATCGCGTGATCGCGGTGGAAAGACACTGAGCAGACAGATGCGGGAGTCATTCTGCGTGCTGCTCTGACCCCTCATCCCCCTTCCCAACATGGGCCCAGAGCTTTTACTCCTGTTCCCGCTGTGTAATAGGGGGAGGGGGGCTGCAAGGGCACCCACAGCCCCTTTAACACATCCTTCTTGTCCTTTCTCCTTGGATAGGTTCATATTAGTGGGGGTCAGACTTCCAGCAGCTTTGGATTGGCCAGCAAGCTGATTGGCAGGTTGGGCCTTCGGCTGGTCTGCTAGTCAGTCGTCAAGCACGTGTTAAGCAGGGACTTGGAGCACAAGAGACAGGGTAGCTATAACCCCTGACCTTCCAGAGCTGAGGGCCTTTACTGACTTAAAAAAAAAAAAAAAAAAAAGACTTGGCAACACAGAGCCTTCCTGAAAGGTTTGGCTCTTGACAAAGAGGGGAAGAATATGAAGCGGGAGGGAGGAGGAGGACGGCCCGGGCGGGGGCTGCAAGGAGAGAAGATGAAGGTCAGGTGGGGGTTGGGCCAGCTGCATCAAAATGCTTCACAACTGGCCTTTGAAAGTTGTTCCATGATCAAAGACATTGATAAAACTAGCTTGAACAACGCTTCTTCATGTATCCCCGCTTTGGAGATGAACAATGCAAAAATGCCCCTTAAGGCGCTGATAAGTCCTGCAATGAAGAACGGTGTCCCGCTTTGCTTCCCGCACGGGTATGCTAATCTATTTGGTCAGGAGTCCTCCTTTCTGATTATCACCCATTAACACCCGAGCCACAGCCACGCCTCAGCCGCGCGGGGGAGATCAGCGCGCTCAGGCAGCCACTGGCTCCGTCTGTGGCCAGCAGTGAGCCTCAGCTCTGCCTCCAAGGCTTCCTTCCTGAGCCTGGGCGGGCGGGGGTGGGGTGGGGGCACTGGCCGGGCGAGGGCGGACCCTGCCTCGTAGACACTTACTGTTCTGGCTCATTCCTGTGGGGCCAATCCACTGGCGCTGCTTCTTCTGACGGACTGGGCGACAGGAAAGGCACATCAGGGTGGAGCGCGGGCGGGTGGGGGTGGGGTGGGATGGGGGGTGGGAAAAGGGGCAGGCGCAGCTGAAGGGGGCGCTGCTGGACTCTGCCCCCAGAAATCTTCGGGAGCCTCGGATTTCTGACTTGCTGGGGAGGAAACTGCCCCAGCTCTTGCTGGAGGTGACTGGTTCTCCAGCAGAAATGATTGTTCAGAACCAGAATTAAGATCTGGGAGGGCGGCAGGGACCCAGCCAACACCGCCCACCTCTGGGCCTTCTCTTTTCAGCCCCTCTAATCTTACTTCCTTGTCTTTGAATCACTATCTCCTGCGTTCTGCAAGATGGAGACAGCAGCCTGCTCTGTTCACTAGGTGAGCAATCGCCCATTTTGTAGGTGAGGAAACTGAGGCTCTGAGAGGAAGTGGCTTAATTGCCATGATGTACAGCCGTGGTGGCACCAGGCCTGGGAAACGTGTCTTCTGAGGTGAGGGGCTGTGCTGACGACCCTCTGGGCCCATCACTGCCTACAGAATGGCCACATCCTCCCTTTGGCCAGAAGCAGGTCTCAGCCGGGCCCCAGGTGTGGGTGAATCAGGGACTGCAATGTCCCTGACTTTCTGTCTCTGGTGCTTTGGGCAGAAGCCGTCCAGCAGACAGGAGAGGGATGGGGCTGGGTGCCCCGGCAGAGGCGGGGCCCCTCCTTATCTGCCCACACAGGGGCTTGAGAGGGAGGTGGTTTGGGGCACTGGCACCTACATTTCTTCACCAGCTTCTTGTAGGCGAGAGGGCCGCACATGACCAGCAGCACCGCCAGGAGCACGAGGGCCAGGATGATGCTCGCCACGGCGCCTGCGCCCAGGCCCGCCGGGTTCGGGTCCTTGCCTGGGGAACGCAGAGGGTCAGCTCAGCCCCACCGCGGCAGCATCGAATCTGTCCATTCACAGGGAAGCCGCTGCCTGGCTTCTCCTGGCAATCTGCCAGCACGTGTGGAAGGCTGTTATCCACGTGGCAGTCCCTCCGTCATCTCTGGAATTCTCCGCTACACATACATCCATCTCCCATTTATCACCTAATACTTGATTGTCCAGCTATCACTTGTCACTGTGGGAATCAATTATTGAACTTCCTACCATGTGCCAGTTACAAATGATCATCTTGCCATCATTCATGGCACCAACGCATGGTCATATACCAATAGCCGGTTGTCCCTCCCTCCGTCTCTCTCTCTTTAATGTGTTACGCAGTCACGTTAATGTAGCGATATGTTCCACCTGTCCTTTGCTTTGCCGCCGTCCACCCTGGATGAGTAGAAGACAGAACGGAGTTCTGTCGTTCACTGGCTGCCTCACAATGATGGCCAGTGCCCTCTTCATGGCTCACGCCCATTGCTGTCTGCCCTCTCGCCTCCTTCCCCCCATCTGCCATCTCTCCGTCCTTTCTCGGGGCCTGGGGCTCTCTGTGCAGCTCCTGGGGCCTGTTCTTCAGAAACGTGCTCACTGACGGGGCCCTAGAGGGAAAACCAAGCACTGCCCTCCGCCCACCGTGGGCTGTGGCCAACTCACATGTGACAAACACCCTCTTGCAGTGGGCTGTCTCCTGAAGCTGGTGGCACTGCGACAGCTTCTCTGAGAGGCAGAAGGCCCCCCGGGAGGTCTTCTCGCCGGCCCCCACCACCTGGTAGGAGTGGACGCCGCCGCACTGCTGCTCCTGGCACACCTCCTCCCACCGCGAGGAGCCTCTGTCGGGGAGGCTGTGGCACAGGGCCGCCCACCGCCGGCCCTGGCGCACCTCCACGAAGCCTGCACACATGCCGCTGCCCCCCACCAGGCGGCTCTGCACCTTGGGCTGGAAACCTGGGGAAGGGAAACACCCGGAGATGAGGGGGCAGGCTCGGGGGGAGCCTCCCCCACCCGGAGCCTGCACACCTGGCCAGTGGCATGGCACCCCTTTCTTCTCTGTCCTTTCCTCTTTCTGGCATTCTCTCTGGCACTTACCTCCTTTTCTAGGCAGCTGCCAGCAGCTGTCCTGAGACACCACCGCATGGGCCCTTGGGTGTGTGAGGAAGCTGGCAGGTGGCCATGCCTGTGGCGGCCACCAGCAGGGAGCAGCCCTTGCCCAGGGGGTGCTAAGGGAAGAGCAGTGAGAAGTAGGTTCCCCTTTCTTCTTAGAAACATCCTCTCATTCTCCTGCTGCTCCTCGGGAGGTGGGAGGACTCCTCAGGAAGGGAAACTGAGGCCCAGGGATGGGACCTACCTCCTGCTCCAAGTCCTGGCAGTTCACAGGTTGGACAGAAGCCAGAAACACTGCTGCCTGGGCCCCGCTCATCAGGGTGGGGCCTGAGATCCCTCATGGAGGCCCCCACTGCTCAGTGTAAAGGGAGCTGGGATCTCACCAGCTTTGGCCAGTTTCTATAGCAACATTCACCTTCAAAGCCCTAGTAATTCTTCTATTTAGAACACATGTCCAAGGCCAGTCCCCTGGGTGTGGTTTGCAGGTTGCAGCCAGCAAAAGGGCTGGGTGTGGCTGAGAGCCAGCCTTTTCCCCCTCCTCAGGCCAAGAGACCCTTGGGGAAAGCTTCTGCCTGGAGGGGGCAGTGTTGACTAATTCACACCAGGCATCCAATAAGCGGGGGCCATCCCGCCCACGGGAGAGCTCAGTGGTTCATTGCAATGCTTCCTAGCTTTGTGCCTACAATCCCTGGACCCTGCTGAAATGCAGACCCTGATTTGGCAGGTAGGGGAGGGGCCTGAGAATCTGCATTTCTAACCAGCCCCCGATGACGTCCATGCTGCTGGTCCTGGACCACACGTTGAGTAGCCGAGGCTTAGACAGCAGGCTTAGGCCTGACCCTGCTCAAGTGGAAATCAGCCAGTGCTTTATGACAGCGATTTTCAACCGGCGTGCCACAAGAATGCTTAAAACATGCAACACCTGACTATTTAGTCAGGGACACTGATCTCTTTTCCCTTAGATTGTCAAATAAAAAAAATGACAACAGCCAACACAACAATAGCTGCCCAGTGTAAATGAATCAAAATTACATCTTTTTTTTCTTTGGTCAGATTGACAAAAAATACATTTCTTTTGCATGCCACAGAATCTTAGTAATTAGTTTCTGTGTGCCAAGGGATGAAAAAGGTTAAAAATCGCTGATCTATGATATTGGGCAAGAAATGTAACCTTTTTGAGCCTCAACGTGCTCATTCGTAAAGTGGGGATGAGAGTAGCACCCGCCTCTGAAAGCTGTTGTGAAAATGAAAGAGCGCCCTGGCCCGCGGAAGACTTCTTAAAGCCCGGACTCCGCCAGAGCCCCTCCTCCGATAGAAGCCCATCCCGTCCCTCCCAGGCAGGTGGTGACTTTCTTCCTCATTTTGAACTGTAGTCTCTTTCCCCTCAGTTTCACCACTGATCCCGGTTTTTGGGATCCTGTAGACCAGATTCCTTGGCCACCTTCCCTCAACCACAGCGACGTCACCACTGTCTTCAACTTGCTGGTCTGTGGCTGGGCAGCCTGTGCGGGAGGGCTCCTGGGCACCGGCTCTGGCCTCGCTGCCTGTTGCACCCCGGGGACCTCCCACCTCTCACTCTCTGCAACCTTGCTGTCCCGTGGGTTGACAAACTCCCTTCCTGTAAGGCTTGTCCTGCCAACCACCCCATCCTGCTCTGGTCCTTGGTACAAGCCACGATTCCTGCCTACAAGTCTCCTCTCCTTTGCTGCACTGCGCTCCCCTTCTCCTTCCAAAACCACTGAGAAGACCTTGCCTCCTCCTGGCAGTTCTGCTGACCCCACCTCCCTGTGTTGCGTTTGGAGCATTCAGGCTTGTTTGAATTTGCAGAGATTCCCAAGACAACCGGTGTGACGGCAGCCTCCCCATCCCACCCTGCCTACCACTTAGAGGCCAGCCACCAGCCCCAGCCTCCCTGGCGCCCCGAGCCTCGTGCTACATGCGAGGTTTTGGAGAACATGTGGTGACTGACCATGTGGAGGTGCCCATGGATCTGGCCCCGTCTCACTCACCAGAACAGATGAGGGCGAGAGCTTGGCCCTCCTCCTGGGGCTGGACTTTTCTGAAACACTGCTCCAGGGAGGTACAGCTGGTGTTCTGGATCTTCCATTGAATTGGCAAGGGCCTGATCCCCCCTGGGGCCTGAGTCTCAGCTGCCTCGGCCTCTGGCAGGTGCTTCAAGAAGGAGCCACACTGGAGGGCCCCACAGATGAGGTTCCCCAGGTCCTTGGTCCCATCCTGGCCCTCATAGCTGATGGTGCCACTCAGGCTGCCCCTGTAGAATTCCACCACGCCCGCGCACTGCAGGCCCTTGGGCCCTGGCACCAGCTGCAGCCTGGGAGGAGCTGTGGAGAGAGAGGGGAGAGAGGCGTGCGTCTGAGCACTGATAGCCGGCAGCGGGGCCTCCCTTCCGCCTTTGGCTCCGATACACGGACAAATGAATGGCCGGTGCATGGCCCTGGGAAATGGTGAGGTCCTGGCTCTTGAGTGGGACATAATTCCACTAAAACTTTTCGTCTTTACCTAAAATTCAAATTTCAGGACGCTGAGCATCCTGTGCTTCTAATCACTATATCGGACACCCTCCACCCCTGGGGGGGGGCCCTCAGAAACCTGTTACCTGTGGGTTCTGGTGATGTGGGTGGTGGCCTTGTGGTAGGAGGGCTTGTCTTCGGTGGCTCTGCAATGAGACATTTTGGTGAGGGGGCAGAAAGAGTGGGGGAAGGGGGTGAAGGGTGGGAGGGGGCTGTGAGAAGGGCTGAGGGCAACCAGCCGTGTTGCAGAGGACCCGGAACCCATGATGCTTGCTCCACACGTTGTCTCTAAGCCTCCTGTGAGGTGGGCGGCACCAGCCCATTTTATGGTTGGGAAAACGGAGGTTAAGAGGAGACAGTGACATTAGCAGATCCTCGACATTTTCCATCTGACCAGACAGGTCCCAGCACCGCTCAGCCTTCTCCCTCCAGTTCCCCACCAGTGAATGTGCCGGGGGACACTGTCCATCAGGGACCCTCCTCCGTCTGCCTGCTCAGGCCCCAGATCACAGGCCCAGGGCAGCCTCCGAGGGGTTGCTCTCCAGGCCCAGGGTACCCACCTGAGCAGATGAGGCCCAGAGGGGCCCTCTGGTTTGGCACACTGACGTTGCAGTTGAAGAAGGACCCCAGCTGCCCTTGGCAGGTGACATGGTTCTGGGGGCTGTTGAAGTACGAGATGTGGGCCAGGACCAAGGCGTCCCCGCAGTTCAGCCTCCTGCAGAGCTTGGAGGCCTCCTTGGGGTCCTCCCAGCGTTCCGGGCTCAGGCCCCAGCTCCGGCTGTCCACCGTGTGCCACTTGCCATCAAACTGGACCTCCAGCTGGCCCTGGCACTGAGAGTTGGAGCCTTGTAGTCTCACCTGGAGGTCTAGGGGTCAGAGAGGAGGGGTCGGTCAGGCTGGGAAGGGCTCCTCGCTACCTGCCTGCCCCCAGGTCTCCGCCTGGGCCCCCACCCCCAGCCAGGTTCCCTTCTGCTGTGCTCCTGTGGCTCATCCTTTGGGGCACTGCAGGGACTTCCCAGAAACTCAGGCTGAGGACTCTCCTGACGCAGCCGGCCCCCTGAAGCCTCCTGGAGCCGGGCCCTGGAGGATGGGGCTCAGACCTCAGAGCCACGTGGCGCTCTGGATGGTGGGCAAGGGGCCCTTGGAGCCCCCTGTGCAGCAGAATCGCCCCACTCCTGGGAATTCGGCCTCCATAGATCTGAGATAGGCCTGGTGCTGGTTTTTTTTTCCTTTAACTTTTAAAATCAATTCTATTGAGGTGCAATTTACATACAGTGAAATGCACTCATTTTAAGGGCACTTGTTCAATGGAACTGGACAAACGTGCACGCATCTGGGACACCACCACATGCTCGATATAGAACAGTTCCATCACCCGGAACGTTCCCTGAATCCAGCCTCAGGCCACCACCGATCTGCTTTCTGTCACTAAAGGTTACTTTTGCCTGTTCTAAAATGTCATGTAAGCGGAATCATTCAGCACTTTTGTTTGTTTGCTGTTTTTTTCTGTCTGGCTTCTTTCACTCAGTGTTTGAGATTTCTCCTTTTGCCGCATGGATCTGAGTTCATCCCTTGCAATTGCTGAATAACGCTTCATTGTGTGGATATGCCACAATTTGTGTGTCTATTTGTCATTTGGGTTGTTCCCAGGTTTTGGCTACCATGAACATTCATGTACCGATCTTTGTCTTTTTGTGGATATGTGTTCCCGATTCTTTTGGGAGAATACCTAGAGGGGGAATTGCTGGGTCGTAGGTAGGAACGTGGCTTTTGTGATTTGCTAAAGCTCCATGAAGGAAAAAGTAAGAATATATGTTTGCACTTGCATAAAGAGATTCTGGAAAGATATGCAAGAAATGAATAAACATGGTTATTACCTGGGGTGTCTGGGATGGGGGAAGCACTGGACAGTTGCGGTACTTTATGGCCATGGAGGGCGTCCACGTGCAGGTGGGCATGTTAAATGTGTGTGGGGGGGAGGGGCTCTCTCTCTCTCTCTCTTCCTCTGGGGTGGGGTTCATCCTGGGGGAGGTGCTGACTTCTTAATTGGCAGGACCCCCTACAGCCTGATAGAATCACAGCCCTGCTCCCCCTCCCCACCTCTGCCGCCAGGCCTCCTGTGGCTCTTCCTCACCTGAGTCCAACAAGTTGGGCCCTCCGAGGCAGGAAGTGACTGCGGAAAGGAGAGAGCAAGGTCAGGAAGTGAGTCTCCCTCCCGTTCCCGCTCCCTTCGCCCACAGGCTGAGCAATGGCCTTCTCTGCCTGCCCCCACAATTGCGGCAACCAAGTGCAGGGCTTTGCATGCTACTGTCGCATCCCCTGGGTGGGTCATGAAGTCAATTTAGTGGGTTGCAACCATGATCTTTCTTTCCTGTTTTAAAACGTTGCTTTTTGAAAAAACGTGCAGGACAATGGATTTTCCTCTAGTGCACAATGCTGTGGATGTTAACACAGATGTAGGTCAGTGTAATTGCCATCACGATCAAGGCATACGACAGCTCTATCGCCCCCCAAATTTCCTCTTCCTATCCTTTTGCACTAATAGGCAGTACCACAAACATCAATTTTTAAAAAGAACAAAATGGACTAGAAGAGAGGATGTCAGGATGTACTGTGCATTGTGAGGGCAAGGATCACTTCGTGTGCCTGCGGTTGCAAAGTAAAAATGTCCTGTTCTGTTGCTTTCAATCAAAAAAGTTTGCACACCGTGATTCTAGAGAACCAGGAAACGAGCCAGGGAGGGAATCCAAGATCAGGTTGCTACCCTCTGGTATTGCCAAGGCTGGACAAGAACAACAGCAATTTATCTTTCATGGCTCCAGTTTCCAGGGGGGGACAGTGAAGCTCAGACTTCAATCGGAAGGGGCTCGGCCATGGTGGCACAGCCAGTTGGCAGGAGAGCTAGGACCACAGCCCCAGTGCGCCTGGCACTGGTCCTGCCTGGGCTCAGCCAGTAGGAACGTGGGCCATTTGGGAAGTTCCACTTCCTGCCAGTCCCATTGTGGGAAGAGGGGGGGTCTCCCAGCAGAGCAGCCTGTTACTAGCTGACCTGTGGTTGGGCTGTAGGTTGATCGGAGTGGGGATGGGATGGGGTGGCATGTCTGTGTGTCCTCAGAGCCCACCCTCTGTGTTTGCCGCCCAGCATTATCACTCACGGAACAGGTGTTTTGACAGCCACCTGACTGACTCCTGGACTCACTTCTCCATTGGAATCTGGGGTCAACACCAGGTCACAGCGACTGCGTTATATAGTAAACAGCTGTGTTTAAGTTGTTTTTGAGAAATTGTTGCTGGGTGTGGGTGTTAAAAAAAAATAGCTTTTTTTTTTTAAAGCCTGCTTTTGCCTGAATGTTCTGAACCCACGGTAGAATTTTAAGGGGTGACTTGCCAGCTCACCCTTTCCCCCCAACCAAGGTTCCTGATAATGAAGTCGTCCTGGCCCCTGTGATGCTCGTCCTCCTTGGCAAGAGCTTTTCACGGTTGCCTGGGAGTCCGGGGCCTCAGGACGGGAAGGTATTCCTCACATGTGGGGAGTGTTGGGCCCAGGGCAGTTGCCAGAGCTCGGCCCGGGAGCGAGGGTGTTGACCAGCTGTCAATCATCCAATCTATTGCAACGGGAAGGAGGACATGGTGGAGGGGCCCATGCTAAGGAGGCGAAAGAGGAGGCAGGGGGCCCTTGGCCTTGCCCGCACTCTCATCCCTGACCTCTCACTCCTCCTCCCCCCGGGTTCCAGCTCCACTTTGTGAATGGGGGTGTCCACCTTGAGGAATTCGCTCTCTTTGGCTAAGCCATGCAGGCTGAGGCAGCTTGGAGGGGCGCTGAGGGGGAAGGGGGACACAAGGACCCTTTGGTGCTGTGGGGGTTTTCAGGCATGGACCGCTTGCTCTGGGCGAGGGTACTCCCTGCCACTCTCTGCCTGCGGGCCCTGGGGAGCAAGTCCTGCAGCCCTGCCGAGTCTCTGCTTCCTCATCCACAGCATGGGAACAAGGAAGGGGCCAGCTTTACAGTGAGGAGAGGCAATGATCCATGTAAAGGACCTAGCCTGGTGCCTTCCTGGCCCGCGTTCAGTGCTCAGAGCTGGAGCTACTGGTCGTGGCGCTGGCGGGGCCCGGGGCGCGCGCGGGGACCGAGGGCGCTTTCCCTGCGGAGCACAGTCCCTGCCCAGGACCCTGGGAGAGCCAGGTCCTGGGGCTCACGCTTGCCTTTCTCACCTGGGACCCTTGCATTCCCAAAGTCACCTTGGTCAGCATTCATTGACAGCAGCTACCATTATTGAGTACCTACTGTATACTCAGCACTCGGGGTCATTCCTTATGGACGTCATTGTCAGCGTCCCACGCGGCCTCGCAATGTGAGTTGAGTATGGTCACGGAAGACATGTTGGGAGAGGGTAAGTGCCCCATCCAGGGTGACACTACCAGCAACTGGCAGGGCCTGGGTTTGAACCATCCCCTTGCCCCCTAAACCCATGCTCTCACCTCTCTGCCCCCGCCATTGTGCCTCCTAAGTGCCAAGTGTGGGGAGGCAGAGATGAACACGACCCAGGCCCTGACCCTGCGGTGCCTGAGCCCCCGAACCCTGAAGCCCCCGGGCTTGGCCGTCATGGCGGGTCTCACGCAGAGCAGCCCAGGCCCTGCTGGGAAGGACGAAACAAGCTAGACAGCCAAGGACGATTCTAAAAAAGAAAATGGCCTGGTGAGAAAAGACGTCGCGGCACCCTAGGGCCTTGGCTCCCTCTGGGTGCCTGTCCGTCCTCAGCTGAGAGCGTTCCCTGTCTGTCCCTCCAGCACGGTCATCACCCCTTACAGTTTGCGCCCTTTCCCTGGCATGTTTATACGTGAACGCTCTCAGACCTCATCGCAGCTCCACGCCGTAGGTACTGTTACCCTAGTCCCCTTTTTATAGATGAGGAAATTGAGAGAGGAACTGGCCCACACAGCTGGCGAGTGCTGGCTTCGGAACTCTCAGCCAGGCCACCTGGCGCAGAATTTGTGCTTTTGGACCCCTGGACCAAGCTGCCACCCTTTCCTTAGGAGGGAAGGCTGCGGCAGCCGGACCTGTGTTTCACCAATTCCTGCACGTTCCTGGCGTGCACACCCGATGGAAGGGAGTGAACTTGTGATTCTGTTTAGTCTGTGAACAGACTTTCCCACAAATTTGCTGTGTGCTCTTGGCCAGTCACTCATCCTTTCTCGGCTCTGTTTCCTCATCTATAAAATGGGCACGTCAGACTTCACGGTCCTTCACTTTCCTCTCGGTTCAGAGGAGGACGGAGGGATGCGTGCCTGACTCGGAGCATCCTGGGTGCTTTATTTTTTCATTCTGTCCAGGAAGACGTTCAGGTGTTGATTGTCCACAGTTTATTTTAGTTGTTTTGCACAGGGGTCAGGCCAACATCCTCCTTCCCTTGAACCTGATCGATGTGCTCAGGATTCTCTTGACTCCTTTCCTGCCACAACCTACCCCACCGGACCCTGCCTGCAGCCTGCGGCGCGAAGCTCTGCTGGGGCAGAATCTGCAGACAGAGGCCTGGAGACCCTTGAGACCATGGGGCACACGAGGCACGGAAGCACCATGCCCCTTCCTAACCCGTCAGCCACAGCGACACTCCAGCAGCTGGAGCTGGGAACAGAATTCTCCAAATTCTCTCCTTCTCTGGCCAACCTCCCCTGGAAGCCCAGAAATGTAGGGCTTAGACTGACTGCGTCCAGGCAAAGCCCAGGGCCGGAAAACTGGAGTTAGAAGGCCTCCTGACTCCTCCAGAGCCCCTTTCTCATTTCTGCATTTGCAGAGAATTAATCATTTTGACTCTGCCTGCTCCAACAGGTCTCGGTGAGGAGGACGTGAATCCCTGAAAGCGGCTCTGAGACTATGTGTGTATATATATATGTATGTATGTATATATATCTCATATTCAGAATTCCTCATCTCCTACTCCCCTCTCCTCTTGGCTCCCAGCATTCCTCATGCCTCTCACTTTGGCATCCCTGCAGGCCCCCATAGGCCATGGATGAGTTTTATTGGCTTTGCATGCTGTTAAAAATGGGGTGGCCCATTTTTTTAAAGACTTCTTTTTGTTTTGTTTTATAAAAAAAAAATCCCAAGACCCAGATGTTTTTGAGAAAGAGGTCATCCTGGCCACGCTGGGCTGTGTCACCGCCAGCCCCAGGCAACGGCCTGTCCGCCTGCTTTGGATGGCCCCTGAGGTAGCTTCCTGCTGCCCTGCGTCTGGAGAGCCATGGCTTCAAACACAGGATGGTCTCTGCAGTAAAATGTACGAATTTTCACACTAAGGAGGATGTGCCAAGATTATAAATAGCCTCCTATTTGCTCCGGTCAGGATTTGCACCGAATGCGTTTGCCAGAAATCTACAAACGTTGGTTGGGTTTGGAATTGCAGATGAACGTTGGCGGGCTTGTGTGGAGGGACCCACTTTACAGTGCTCAGTCGAGCCAAGGTGTGTAAAGCCTAGGACGGCCTGCCTCTGACTCCGGGGTAGGCCCTGCCTGGACCCCCGGACACCTGCACTGACAGCCCCTACACACTAGGACGCGGAGGGCACTGGGGATCCTGGGAAGGGCTGGGACATTGCCGACGATGACAAGGGCAATAGAGAACATTCACTGGACCCTACCCGGTGCAGACCCCAGCGCGGGCGAGTTTATCGTGGAAGACCCTGATGGCCTCGTCTGAGGGGGCTGCCATCACTGTTCCCAATATAAGGACACCAGCGTCCTGATTTAGTGCTGTTTGAGGTCAGATGGTCCATTTTCCCACCAACAATGATTCCTCCTACTAGTCTGTGAACTTATCAATGTACAGCAAACTCCACGTGTCAGACAGCCTTTGGAGGCATCCTGGCCTCTCTTTCCTGTCACCCTCTGATGAGAGGCCACCTTAGGGTCAGAAACCCCTCTTCCCTGGACGATGCCAGGCAGTGAGCCGTGTCTAACCTGTATCAGCATCAGGGCTTCAGGGGAGCAAAGATCACACGGGCCAAAACTCTGTTTCTGGGCCAAGCCCCAGAGGAAGTGATTGGTTTAGGATTCGGAGCTTTTTTATGTGCAAAACACGCAGAGAATCGCACTGGGCTCACTCCAGGAGAGCTGGAGGACTGGAGCCCGCAGAAGGAACGGCAGAACTGGCCGCTCATCTCGCTCACCCAGGGCCTGTGCCAACGTGCAGACAGTGAGCTCATCCTGGGCACAGTGGTCATTGCGATTTAGCTCATCGCTCTCTCTCCCTGGTGGCCCGGTGTGTCTAATGGAATTTGCATGAGCTTCATGCCACATGTGTCTCCACTGTGACAAGCCCTCCTTTTTGTTCAGAGCTTTATATATCTCAAAACTCCGCCACGTGCGGGAGCTCATTCTTTCTACCCTTTCTAGCCCTGTGTGGAAGGGACCAGGCTCACCCCCATTTTAAGATCAGGTAACAGATGCGGAGAGGCTGAGTGACTTGCCTAAGGTCACACAGCTCGCTGGTGGTAGAGTCAGGGCAGAAAAACAATGACAATCTCTTGATAGGGCTCCATGGCAGCCTACTGTGGGGAGACCCCGGAGCCTGCTTGTCCCGTGGTACGGATAGGAGAAACTGAGGCCGAGAAGAGGGAGGTGAGTCACTGCGGAAGCCTCCGTGGGAGTCTGTGGACCCTTGCCGTCTCTGTCAACTGCCACCACTTTCCTATCCTGTTCCCCCTGTTTTTTTTGCCAGCTGTGCCCTCAGGGATAAGGGAATATTGGGGTGCCTGCGAGAGCCCTGAGAGCCCAGCCTGTGAGGAAAAGAGCGATGCTGCTGTTGCTGCTGCTGCTAACGATGGCAGTGGTTATAGAGGAAGTGGCCAGAATCCCTCATCTGCAATTCGAGGCCCGCACCAAAGGTCTTTCTAATGTATTTGGCTGGAGGGTATTTGCAGCCTTTAGGGGCCCCTCTGCGTTTGTGAATTTGTGTTTCACTGCAGAAGCGTCTCATCAGGAAGTGCTGCCCGAGACCTGGTTGGCGGGCATGTTATGAGCCCACAGCCCATGTACAAGGTACCTTCTACCATCTAAAAAGTTCTGAATTCCCAAAGCAACTGGCCCGGGGTTCAAGACAAGGTCCTGTGGACCACGACAGGTGAGTTACTGTTTCTCTCAACGGTGCTCCGCACACGTTCCCCTCTGCTCAGTTCCATGGAGAAGAAGCCCCAGTCCTGGCGGAGGCCCTGCAGCCTGCGTGCCTCCGGCCCCGCCGCAGGGGTCCTCCCCAGGCGGGCGCGGCCTGCTCACCTGCTCCCTGGCAGAATTTTCTCAAACATTATCCTCCTGTGCGGCCCACTGCATCCGCCCAGGTACAGCACGGCCGCAGCGCTCCCAGCCCCTCCACCCACGCCGCTCGTGACTGCGAGCGCCCATGCCACCACTGGCCTACTCCATCTCTGCCTGTCTCTTCGTCACACCCCAGCTTCCATGTCTGATCCACCAGGGCAGGGTTTTCCGTGTTCACTGTGGTGTCCCCAGCACTTAGCACGGTGCCTGGCACATAGAGGGTGCTCAATACATAGTTACTGTCTGAATGAATGAATGAATTAGATTTAACGACTAATTATCCTTTGAGGTAGGCACAATGGCGATCCCCATTTTCTAGATGAGAAGGCTGAGACTTAGAAGGTGTCCTTGTCATTTGTGAGTGGCCAAGTAGAAACCAGACCCAGATCTGTGCAGCTTCAAGCCCCACAGGCCTTCATGAATGTGGGCACAACACTCACGCACACATGACACACAGCATACACACATGCTTACACACGCACCCACATGCATGCACACACAGCAGGTGTTCAGTCAATTTTCTGAGGTGGAGTTGAAGTCCCTCCCTGGTCACTATGGAGAAAACCCCTCTGAACGCTTGGAGCTGGGCAGAGTGACCAGAGGGCCAGCGCCAGCCCCTGGTCCCTCCGTTCCTCACGGGAGCGCTGGGGCCTGAGCCTTTGTGCCCAGAGCCAGCAGGGCCTCAGCTCTGTGGCCCGGGACACAGGCTGGGCGGCCTCCTCGAAGGTGGAGCCCCCACGCCCTTCTCTATTGTGGACACCAGCTCTGTGGACTGGGACTGCCCCACCGTGAAGTCGGTCACTTACTTCAACCGTTGCTGTTTCCTTGGTTGCACTGATCATAATATTTGTCAATATTTCTAATGCCCATTTACCTGTGTTCTGCAACGGGTCTCCTCTGTGAGCCTGGTAAACAGAGCCTGGCAGATCCATGAGGGCAGGGACTCCTGCCCTATTCACTGCTGTATCCCAGTGCTTTGCACAGAGCAGGGCACACAGTAGGCGCTCAATAAATATTTGTAGGTGAGGGAATGAATGCACAGCTTGTGACAGAGTGTTGGGGAGCAGAAAGGTTGATGGGTAAGCTAGCGTTGATGGGCTAAGACCCCTTCCCGCCAAGTCCTACCTACCTTGTTTCTTGCTGACTCTCATAGTAGTAGTAGTAGTAATAATTTAATAAGAATAATTAATACTACTGATGTTTCTTGAGCACATCCTCTACTATAGGCCGACACTCTGACTAACACTTTGCATGTGTTGATTCATTTCATCCTCATAAACCTGTATGAGGCAGGTACTACTATATTCCCATTTACAGAGGAGAAAACTGAAGCGTACAGACAGGTCCAAGGTCACCCAGCTGGCAAGTGGCAGACGGGACTTCAAGCTGCAGAGTCCATGGGGCTGAGGGCCGTGGCGGGGGAGCCTCTGTGGGAAGCCATGGTCCCTGCCACCCCACCCATGCCACAGGCATCTTCATGCCCCAAGTTCCCTAAGTCAGGGGCCTGGCCCAGAGGGCCAACCAGGAGGCTGCAGCGCCCCCAGGGCTGTGCCAGCGCCTTTTCCTGGACTGACTCAAAGGTGCCTGTGCTGCTTGGCCCTCGGCACCCCTGGCCCTCGGCGCCCTGGCTCTTGGCCATTTTCCTCCTCGCAGGAGTGGCTTTGGTGGCCTTTGCTCTTAGCTGAGGGTCCGGAGGGGGTCTCGGTGGGAGCAAGAGTGCGGGGCTAGGGTTTGAGCTGCTCCTTATGAGCTGCTTCACCCTGTGCTTGCCACTTGGCTTTTCTGGACCTCAGTTTTCTCCACTGTGAAATGGGGACACTGGGCCCCCTTACTTCATAGGCTATGGTGGAGCTTACAGAAGAATATGGCTGTGAAGGTGTTTTCTAGGCTGTGGCCCCCTGGGCAATGGGAATGTTCATTATCTACCAGTGCGTGTGCACACACGCACACACACGCGCGCGCACACACACACACACACACACACCGGGAAGCACATGCTGCTGGGGTCCCAGATGGTTCCTGTCACACATGGGTTGAAGGTACGGTGGCCAGGCCTTCCCGACTTGGGGCTCCTTTGGGCCATGGACCTGTGCGGTCCTGCCAGGAGCCTTGCCTCACGACAGGGTTCAGGTGGGAGGCTCATGAAGCAGGACCCCCTCCCCATACCCAGCTACAGGTGAGGGGTGGGTGGGGATTGAAGGGCCTGGTCCAAGGACCCCCCCCCCCACTGCCAAGAGGCTACAGCAGCTCCTCTGGAGGGTCCCTGGATGCAGCCCGGAGCTCATCTTTAGGCCTCTGCCCTGGAGACAGAAGGCATTTTGTATCTCTTGCAGTTCCGTGTAAGAATAGCCATGTGAACATGTGTTCACCTGTGCCATCGTCACATGCCGGAGGATGGTAAGATGACATTTGGAGGCATGTCTGGCCCATGAAAACACACACACACAAGCACATTTCTCACCCATGCACACACACAAACACACATACTAATTTAGACGCACACCCCCCTCACCACCCCTGTGTGCCAGCTTCTCTAGGAGGAGCTGAGGGTCCCCGCTCAGCAGGCAACGTCTCCTGAGGCCTTTCCTTCTGGCCTGGGAAGCTGCAAGCTCCTTGCTGTTGCCACCCATTCCCGTCCTGGGATCACGCACCTCTCTCGCCTGCTACATCTTCCAAATCCTTGAGAAGTGGTCAGATCTCATCTAGTTCACCCTCTGCCTTTTATAAACGGGGAGACGGAGGTCCAGACAGGCTCGGGGGCCTATCCTAGGCACACATGGCCAGGCTTGGAACCCAGGGCTCAGGCCGCAGAGCACAAACGGCCATTCCCCCACCCCTGACCATGGATCCTACCCGCTGGCCAGCGCCAGTGACGGCCCCAGCAGCAGGGCCCCAGTCCTGAGCTAGTGTCCCAAGTCCTTGGGAATGGAGGTCCCCCAGCTTCCACCCTCTCCCCGCAAACAGAAGGTCCCAGGTTGTTTCATTAGTGGCCCACGGGGACAGGGATGGCTTCCGAAGCCCCTCCTCCTGGGCTGCAGGAGACCCACGGTGAGCTCACAGCCTGGCTGGCGGGCCTGGCGGGGGCCCCACTGGGGACAGAACCAGAGGGACTGGGAACGAAGGCATACATCTTAGACATCTGCTTAGCTGCGTTCTCAGAGGTGGTCCCCACCCTGCCTCAGCCACTCGGCCCGGAGCATCATCAGAACCGCCAAGGAGGCTGCAATTTTCCTCTCCCCGGAGGCATCCAATAAAGGCTGGACACTGGCGGGGCACGGGGAGCTGCAGAGGGAAGCCCCCCTTAGACGGGGCTGGCGACCGGATTGCTAAACTGAGAGCCTGAGTTAGTGTCAATCCGGCCTGGAAGGGCACAGTAAGGCCCCAACAGGGCAGGAGGGAAGCAGAGCTGGGGCGCTGGCGACGGACAAGCGGGACCAATAGTGACGCAGGGGCTGGGGGCTCAGATAGGGATCCTCGTGGTCCCAATCTTGCATGATGCTCCAGAGAGGTGACACGCGGGCCTGACATGAGAGTCAGACCGAGGGAAGAGCTGCATCTCCTCCCTCGCACCCCAAGCCCCGCTACCCTGGCAGATGTCGCAGGCGGGGTACTCACCCAGCACTCCCAGCAGGCACAGGGCGGCCAGCAGCGGCTGCTGGGGCTCCATGGGCACGGCCTCCTCCTGCCTCAGCCTTGGCAAGCTCAGCACCCGTGGGTGAGGCTGTCTGCCCCCCGTGTCTCCCTCTCAGGGAGGAGGGGGCGGGGCGGGCATGCGTGGGCAGGGGTGGGACTGGGGAGCAGGCGGCGTAGGGCCTGCGTCACCCATGTTTGAAGTTGAACTGTCAACTTCCTCCAGTAAAACCACCTGTCCCCTTTCGAATGGCTTCTGCCAGCTTCCTGCCTGAGGTGCCCTGGGCTGGGGCAGTGCCCCAATCGCGCCACGCTGGGGCAGGGCTCCTGCAGGGAGGCGCCTGGCTCCACGGGGAGCAGGCCCGAGGGACCGAGAGGCAGGGGGCCTCCCGGGATGGAGCTGAGCCGCCCTGGGGTGCTGAGAGGGGAGAGTGGAGGGCACTGCCCCAGTTCTCGCTGCAGGCTCAGTGATGAAAACCCTGACGACGCCCTCCACCTCCCCTTACGGGGTGAGGTGGGAGTTTGAGGCAAACCCCCACGGGCGGTGTCGAACCAGCAAGCCTAGGAGAGGGCTCCTCCACAAATGCTGGGCTGTGGCCGTGTGTGTGTCGGTGCACATGTGGGACAATCTCCACATCAGTGCATGTGTGGTCTCTACGCTGGTGTGAGATCTCTGTGTCGATTGCTCCCGGAAGGGCTGGAATCAACCTCTGGCCTCTTGAGACAGGGGTAGGGTGGCTAGATGCCTGCAAAGTAGATGGGGGAGGCCTGGGACAGGGAAGGGCTTCAGCCTCCAGGAACCTGAGCACATTGAAGTGTCAGAGGGTAAGGGCCCGAGCAAGGCTCCCAGCTGCCTCTGCCTCCTCCCCGCCCCCCCACAGCAGCTCCAGATCCTCCGGGGCTGCGATGGGGGTGCTCTCCTTCCCTGGGCTTGTCAGATCTTCTCAGCAGCTGCCCAAGAACATCTACATAGCTCCTTGGCATTGAACACTCCCCATCCCCTGCTCCATGAGGCTGGGAGGATTTCAGGCCCGAGAATCAGTTCATCAGAGGGAAGAATTGAGGCCTGGGATCAAGGAATGAGGACCTCCATAGTAGGTGTGGTTGGGGGCCACACCCATCACCTCATACAGGATTAGGAGGTACCTTGTCCCCTCCTGAGGTGACACTGCCTCAGGCTATAAACAGCCCTTCCCGGCCCTGTCGCCTGCCCTCACTGCCATCATCCGAGCCCTATGACTCTGGAAATTGCAGAATTTTCATTCATCTGTTCGTTCATTCATTCAACAAATCTTTGTCCCATGCCAAGCACCAGGGACACAGAGATGAATGAATGGTCCCTGCTCAGGTTACTCTCCAAGGACCCCTTCGTATAATTTCTCTCCTAAAGACTTGTTGTTTAGAAAGCTTTCATTGGTCACAGTAGCTGTGTGTAGGAAGCAGCCCTGGTTTTTACCCAATCAGTTTACAAACTTGCAGTTTGAAAGGGAGAAAGTCTCCTATTAGTGCCTAGGTGAGCCAGGGGCGTGGCCTCTTTATCTTCCCTACCGTCGTGGGAAGTGGGCGGGGTTTTCCATTTCACAGAAGAGGAGACTGAGGCTCAGAAAGGACCACCCTTGGCCTCTGGAGGTCAAAGCTAAGATTTGAACCCACGTTTCTCCCGCTTCGTAACACTTGCTACTGCCCTCCACTTACCAAAAGCAAAGGACACAAATGAAAACCTTGCTTTTGATTTGATCTCAGAGTCTTCATCACAGGCCCAGTTTTGGTTTCTAATCTTTTTTATTTGTTCCTGGAACATTGAAAGCAGCTCAAGGGCTGGGGTTGCAGCCTTCCAGCCCCTGGGACTGGTGTCTGCCCGATCCTGGTGGGAGGGGTCCAGGCACCCCCAAAGCCTTCCCCCTTCACAGCCGCTGCCATCTAGACTCCCTCCTCTGCCTCCTGAGCCCCTTTCCCTCTGCAGCCCACCCCCCCCTCAGGTACCCCACTCTTCCCCCAGCCAGGCCTCCAGGCCCACTGTCCCCAGCTCAGACCCCAGATCCCTGGCGGGAGTTTCCTGTCCTCATCACCCTTACTTTCCATGACACAAGAGGAAGTCAGCTGAGCCTGGGCTGGGTTTTCCATGCTGCCTGGCCCGGGTGGAGGCCAAAGGTGGGGGCGGGGGTTAGCAGCCCCCAGGGCCAGGCGTCAGTACCTCCTGGGCCTCCGCTGGAGAGGCACCTGCCTGCTGCCCTGGCCTCACCAGGTAACCACGGAGTGTGTGTTCGTCTGTCGGCAGGGCAGCCCAGAGCTGCTTCAGCTCCTCTGGGCTCCTTGACTCCCCAGTGCCCCGAGGACTTGCCCTCTTTGCCGGGGGGAAAGGGGCCACAGGGTTGAGTGGGAAAGGGGGAGGAGCTGAGGGCTGGGAAGGGAGGGTTGGGTGGTGAGAGGAGAGGAACGAGGCCCTGAAATGTGATGGGCACGTAGTAGGACCTCAGTGTTTGTCGAATGAATGAATGACTGAATATATGGGATGGTCCCCAAAGACCAGGGTTCGGCCTGGTGGCCAGAGGAGGCGCCTCTGCTCTGACATGGGTGGGACGAGCCCGGCAAGTGTGTGCTTGTTGAATGACTCAGTGACCTGAACCCTTGAAAACCTGAACTTGGCAGCCTGGACGGGGGGGGGCCCATGGAGGGGAGCAGGTTTTGCTGCAGCCCCGACCCCCACCCCAGCTCAGGAAGTGCATCCCCTCCCCCAGCTTTGCTGCTGCTCAAGCGCATCACTGGTGGGAGGAGGGAAAGAGAGACATAAGAACTGAGTTCTAGATCTGGATGGGCGGCAGGGGTGCGCAGCTGTGGTGCAGAGGTCAGGCCCAGGCACCTGCATTTGAGTCCCACCTCTGCCCACAATCGCCATGTGGCCTCTCACAACGTCAGCTGACTTATCTGTAAACTGTGGGGTCGAGGACCCTGAGGCCAGTCCTCCTGTTCTAGGACAGTCCTCTCCCACCTCCGGCGCACGTCCGCGGCGGCGTGGGAGGTGGGTGGGGGGATTTGTATTAGAGTCGGGGCGTGGTGGAGTGGGCAGGTTTCTCTGTTCTGGAACCTGGAGGGTTTGGTACTTTCTCTCGAATGGGATGGTGGCAAGTGCCAGGGTTCTGGGGAAGCGCAGAGGACAGAGGCCTGGAGGAGCTGTGGGACAGGGGCCTGCTGGCTCAGTGCGGCGGCTCCGTGTGTGCAATTTTCTCGAGTCCCAGGCGGAAGTGGGGCCTCTGTCGAGGGCCTGCTGTCCCCATACGTTCCTGGCCTCTCCCAGGAGCCCAGATGGCGCTATCAGACACCCTGGCCTCACATCCCTGTGGTGAAATCTTGAGTAAATGACTCATGCAAGATACTTGAACTCCTTATCTGTAAACTGATGATTAGAAGGTGAAGCAGACAGAATAACTGGAGCAGACAGCATAGCACAGGCCTGGCTGATAGCAAGGTCCCCAGGCCCCGTAGTTATAACCGGAACTGAATCGGTGGGTGACCTTGGGCAAGTCATTTCCCTTTTCTGAGCCTGATTATCTTCCTCTATAAGATGTGGGTGTGGAGACATCCCTGCACTGCAGGGCTCCTGGGGGATTTCATTACAGTGTCCTGAGGGGCTTGTAAACCTCAGTGCACTCCCTTGAGTGTGATGGCTGGTCAGCTCTGGCGTCGACCCTCCCAGCCCCCTCCCCCGGGGCTTGTGCACGGAGGCCCAGCAGCTCCCCTGGAAGGGATCGGCCTGCGCGTCTCTCTCCTCCCCCGACGCCAGGGCCTGCTGCAGGCCTCCCCGTGCTGGGTGTTCGGGAAACACGCACCCCACAGCCCATGGCCCCACCGTGTGTGTGAATCACATTTCTTAGGACTCAGCGTTCATGGTTTCTCTTCTGTTTCTTCTGTAAGTAAGATTGGACTCGTTCGACCATGGAGCCTAAGTTTTGATTGAGAAAATAAGGCCGCCTACAAGATAGAGTAGGACAAGTGTTAACCAAACCCATTTTTCAGATGAAGTAACTGAGGATCAGACCGGTTAGGTGAATTCCCCAAGGCACATAGCTAATCGACAGTGAAGGTGGGACGGGACCCCCAGGTCTCCTGGTCTGTGGACCACCCTTTGCCAGCAGAGTCCCTCTCTCTTCTCAGGCTGGTGCTTCCCCTGCCTTTTGGAGGCCTAGGAGGCCCACAGGCTCAGCTCTGTGTACTCGGCTTATAGACAACGCTCTTGGAGACTCAGATCCCTTCTGGGAAATGCACAGAGCCTGTCTGGAGGCCCTGGCGTTTCAAAAGACCCTGGTGCTGTTGGAATTGTTCCCCTTTCTCGCTTTGTTCTTTTGTTAGCCAGCCCAAGCCTTCTCTTCCAGCACCCAGCACCGGCCACAAAGCTACTTCTAGAACAAGTGAATGAATGAACAACAGGGAGGTTTTGGGCAAGGGCACATGAAACGGACAGACCAGTGCTGCCTCCACCCACCCCGCCCCCCACCCTAAGCTTTCAGTCCACTGGGAGACCACTCTACAAGCAGCTGGGGCCACAGCTGGGACAGTGTGTGAGAGGGCCTGAGCCTGAGGGAGACTTCAGCAGGAGTGTTGTCTAATCCATCTTCTGGGAAAAGTCAAGGAAGGCTTCCTGGAGGAGGTGACATGCAGACTGAGACCTGAAGGGTGAGTAAGAGTTTGCCAGCTTGGCAGTGAGATTGGTTTTGCTGGCTGAGGGCAAAGTCTTCTGGGTTCTGTTAATGCAATAACTGTGTTGCTAGGGGTGAAAAGGGTCTAGAAGATGGGGAACCTGCGATCAGTCCTGACTCAACCCCTCACCGACTTTGTGCCTAGGGTTGAGTGTCTCCCCCGGGCCTCAGTTTATGAAATATAGAGGCTCTATCAGATGGTCCCCGAGATTCCTTAATCTGAGAGTTGAGACTTGAGATCTTATTTTTATAAAACCATTTTCCAGAAGCTGAAAAATTGGCACAGCTTTTTTTTTTTTTTTTTTGAGGGACAAAATGACAAAAGCCACGTTAAAAAAAAAAA